GCAAAAGGAGGGGCCTGGTCTGACAGACCAGAGAAGCTGCTGAGGCTTATTAAAAACCACAGGGCGGCCGGGGGGACGGTGATGCGAAGGATTATGGAAGAAAACAGGAGGTCCACAGGTGGGCACGGGGCTGGGGCTTGGGCAGCGAAGCCAAGAGTTTGGCAGGGAGGCCCACTGCCTAGCATGCTCTCTATCCTCATCGCAACCTGTATGTTGTCTTCCTCCCTCAGCCAGGCTCCCCCTAGTTAAAAGCTCCCTTTTGCAGTTACAGGCTGAGACATGGAGGGAGAGAGCCTACTTGAATCCATCCAGTGTCAGCCGTCTCACAACTTCTCTCCCAACACGCACGCGCACCATCCTCTAACACCCAGACACACCCACACCAGACTGACTCATCCGACCCAGTTATACATCTTTTCATCCTCTCCCGCGTCCCCCCCGCCCCTGAATACTCACCATCACCTAGCCACTACATACATCACTTCTCTCCTCTGCAGATTCCTTTCCACATGCACCCAGGAATATGGGGGGCTGGTGAGGGAGAGGAAGACCCACTCCCCACCCGCCAAAGCAGGGCGGACTCAGAACTGAAGGATCTCTTGGAGACAGGGCCTGTTTCTCTTCCTCCTGCTCCTCATTCTGGGAGGACCGGAGGAGGCTGTTCATTTCCCCTTCCTCCCCAATGGATGGGCGGGGGGGGAGAGGGGGAGAGAGACAAGAGGGACATGGATGCTATTGGCTCTGCAGGTCCCTGTGCCATCCACTATACAAGCAGACCCAAGTGCCTCCCTTAAACCCCAAGTCACAGTAGGGAAGACACTGAGTGTTCAGTGTCCTCCACTGCCATTTGCACTGGTTGGGGGGGGGGGGGATTGTTCTCTTTGGCAGCTGTCTCCTAAAACCAGGCCCAATGCAGTATTTTCATTTGTCTTTCCCACACACAGCTCCCAATTAAGGCCCTAATTATGAGCATCTGACAACAGAAGATTACATTCAGCTATTTGTTAATGATTGCTATAAAACACTGTCAATGTACAGCCAAGTTCTCTTTTTCTCATTCCTGGCCATTTAAATTTTCCCACTGTACTGCAGGCTGTAGTCCACTGAATAACACTGAGTTCCTGTAAAACAACCACCACCACCCCCCACCTCCCTTTCCTGGAGGACAAGAGGAATGTTTAAGGAGCAGGGCTGTATCCCCACAAAAGCTGCCTAATGAATTTAAAGTATTTTTTTAAAAAAAAGTTATTTGTGGCCTTCTTTGGAGTGGGTTGTTTTGCTTTTTATTATTAAAGGGATGGGAAACCTCAAAATATTTAGATTTCAGGTTTGGAAAGCACACATTTGCTATCCAAAACTTGTATGAAGTAAGCAAATCCCTGGAAGCTACCAAATTAGGCTGAAAGTGGCCTGAGATTTTCAGATCTTCCCATTCCAACTCCTTCTGTACCATAAGAACATCTTCTCTGATGTTATTTCAGTCATTTAGATTCCTGTCTTGGCTGGAAATCACACTTAGCCAAACAATTGAGACCATCAAAAAAGTTTGATTCAAGTTGGCTTCTAAAAAACAGTAAGTGTTCTGTTCAATCCCAGTTTACCCATTCCAGTTTTTAACAGTACATTTCAGCACACTGAAGCAAGGTTACTTGTATATACTGCCCATTTCTAACTTCCAGATAGCACTGGCTGTCAATGGGGATAGCACCCTGGACCAAAGCACAAGCACCAAAGCACAAGCTCCTTGCACAGACTTGAGAAGAGGAAGTAACTCCTTCCGTTGTGAGTAACCAGCACACGCCTATCCTTTTTGAGGACGGCCACTAGAGGGAGACATGATCACACACAAGGAAAGAGATTCAGAACTGCCTAAGGGATTTATGAGTACAAGTCCCAGGTAAAGTCAATTGAACGTGAGCTTCTAAATCCCTTGGACACTACAAAAATCTTCCCTAGACCAGTGTATTAACAAAATCGATTTCCACTCACTACGTCACATTATACACAGGTTTTGTTGTTGTTTTAAGTCAAACCCCACAGACTGTTCAACCCCAACCAGTTCACAATGGGGCATTCAAGAATGAGGGGGGGATTTGATAGCTGCTTTCAACTACCTGAAAGGGCGTTCCAAAGAGGATGGCTCTAGACTGTTCTCAGTGGTAGCAGATGACAGAACAAGAAGTAATGGTCTCAAGTTGAGTGGGGGAGATTTACGTTGGATATTAGGAAAAACTTTTTCACTAGGAGGGTGGTGAAACACTGGAATGCGTTACCTGGGGGGGGGGTGGAATCTCCTGCCTTAGAAGTTTTTAAGGTCAGATTTGACAAAGCCCTGGCTGGGATGATTTAATTGGGGATCGGTCTTGCTTTGAGCAGGGGGTTGGACTAGATAACCTCCTGAGGTCCCTTCCAACCCTGATATTCTATGATTCACTTTCAGCCAGAGGACTTCTGAAAATGAGTGAAGAAAACACAATGAAAAAAGACTTTTGTCTGGCTGAAATATGCCTGCTAGAAATTAAATATGCCTTGAATAGTCTTTTCATAGATATCTGCTTATAAAAGTAAGGACTTGACTTTATCTCTTTGCAGATGTTGTTGCAACTGAAGGAGTAAAAATGGACACATCCAGGAAATGATGGGAATAGGAGACACATGCTGTAAAAACTATATGATTCTGACACACTTGCAATGTTCTTAATGTTATTTCATGCTCGAGGAACACACCACAGGTTTACATCTGAAACAGCTAGGCTGGTGTATGGTGCGAGCATATGTATATAAAGAAGAGGACTGAAATTATTTTTTTTTGCCATAGCCTTGATAGAATAATAGTTGTGATTTCAAAAGGTCCACATGCATTCATATTAAAAAGCATAAAGGCAGACAAATTAGATGAGTGCAAAAGGGTAAGTTCCGGTATTTAAGCCAATCTAATTTAAACTAAGTTTAAAAAACCATCAGAAGCCATCTGAATTTTATGACAGTCTTGTTTATTTGTAAGAAAAAGGTGAGGCATCAATATTCTTATTGTCTATTATCTTTTTTTTTTTTTTTTTTTTAAAGAAGCCTGCAATGGCACCTGTACTTGGGACATTCACTATCTCAGTTAACTGCACATTGTAGTTGCCATCGGTAGAGATTTCTCTCTCACCGAGAAAATGAATTACAAATTTTGACACAGCAAATATTGAAATGTCAAGCGACATCCACCATTTTCATCTTTAAAAAGTGAGAACCTTATCCCAGTTTTTCAAGCTTGTTGGCATTTGCTGTTCAATTAGAAGAGTCATGGGTGGGATTTTCAAAAATGGAATTTTCAAAGCCACTCAGTTTGGTTGTCCAGATGCCATTAATTTTAATGGGAAATGGACATGTAAATCCTTTAGGTAACTTTGCAAATCTCACCTTAAGGCTTTAAGTGTGTGGCTCTGGCTCCCCTCAGAGATCCATCAACAGTGAACTGCATGCTTTTGAAAGTCTTCAATATATTTCAAAAAGAAAGTAAGTCACAAGATACACAATATTGTGAACAATCCTTTGATACTGCTCTATGGTGAAAAAGTCATTATTGGACCCTGTTATTTTTATGTCAACCATGGGAAGACAATATGACACAAGGAAAAAACACAACACTGAAAGGATCCTAACATATGTTGCCACCACAGTGGAACACCAGGGAATAGTTGTGAAACAAAGGTGCGCATGCCAACTTGGAAGCAATGAAGGGCACTGATAAATCTCAGTGGCATGTAATAGAAGGTCTGCTAGCTTGAATTTTAACTCACAACACAAGAGACAATTTGGAAGCTTGAGTGTAGGCTTATAACCCTAACTACTTCTTCCATTTGTGACTTAACATAATTGCACATGTAATGCAGTCTGTGAGGGAGGTATAACAAATGCAGTAGTCATGCTCTCATTTTTCTGAAACTGTTGTCTTGCAACACACTACACAATGCAGCATATGTACTGGCCATAAAGTTATCCAGACAGCTGTTTTGGTTGCCTGAATGCTGACTACAACCATGTCCTCTGGATGCAAGTTACTGGCTTTTACAGTTTCCTAAAAGCATTTACTGGGTCTATTGAACAATGTGGGGATTGCAGAAAGGCCCTGATGATAGCAATGATGTAATTAAAAGCCGTGAGTGGAAAACACAAGTATTAGAATCCTTTTTCCAGCTATAAAAACTAATTAAAACTTTTAAAAATAGTTTTTTTTTTAAAAAGGTCAAAACCAAAAAACACTACCTCCCCCCCGCTTCCCCGTTTCAATAACTTCCTGGCTCAATACCCAGGAAGGAAAACCCGTGCACCATAGCAGGTCTCTGAGCTGCCTGTTCTTCCCAGGAGTAACACGATACAGAAATTCTCTCATTCGCTCAGAGGCTGAATATGGCCCAATTTGATAGTAACAAAAGTTACTCATGGTTGTGAGTAACCTACACGCAAGGAATTGGTGGTCTCAGTCCATTTCCGAGTGGAGAAGTGTGAACATTATCAAGCTGCCTGGCAGTTTGTTAGCAGCTTCAGTAAAGGCTAAAGATCAACTCTGCCAGGCACTGAGACTGAAGTGCACGCTCAACCATAAAGACGTCCCTTCGGAACAGTTCGCTCCACAACGAGCGGCACTAACTCCACTGCAACTGCTCATCCTGTACCTGTTCTGTGAAGAGAGAGAATTTTGTTTTCCAGTTATGTCAGCCCAGTACCTTTCCGCAAGTTTTGAATTTGATTGAAACAGCATATCTCAATATTCCCAACAACTGTCAACTTTTCGCAGTATGAAAGCTACACCTGAAGCAGGGGTCTGATTGTTTTCTTTTTGGCAGCAGACCAACAGCATTCAGAAACAATAGGGTGCTTATCTAGTGCTCTGCATTTTCAAAATACTTTGCAAAACTTTAAACAAACTGAGACGCACAATACTATGGTAAAGTATAGAAGTATGATCATATGTTGCAAATGGTTGAGATAGTATGTTGAAAAGGTCTTACCCAGTAACTGCTCTTTTGACCAAAACAGCATTACAGTCCTCTCTATTTATGGCTGAGTGAAATTCATCCACAAAGATGATGTTCTTCTGAAGTATTTTCCAATCTAATTGGCACTGAAATGAAAAGACCTTATTAGGACAGTGAGAGCTAGGTGAAATCCCATGTCCAAAAGCTAAAGTGAAATAAAAATTCAGTAACTTTTGTATTAAGTAATTCTAGTACAGCATTTGTGTGGTATTAAAACTTGGGTTTGGGTGGTGGTGGTTGTTTTTTTTTGGGGGGGGGGTAGTGGGGGGAAGGGAGGAGGGAAGGAACACATTACAACATCAACTGGCAGTATTTCTGGCAATGAATTAAGCAGCCCACATTAACCATAGTTTGCAGCATATGTAGTCAGCCTACTTCCCTATTTTAAACGCATAACGATTAGAGTTGTGTTTGAACACATCTGGATGTGAGTTACTCCTGATAGTTGCCTCTATACCCAATACAGGAACTTCCTATGATGGCACATTAACAGAGCATTCCAAGCACAGGCATGTTGCACAATGTTTCTCCAAGCATGAGCTGTGGCCTCAAACAATCAAGGCTTTTTTTTTTTTTTTTTGGGGGGGGGGGTTGGAGAAATGATCAAACCGGGGGTGGGGACAGAACATCCTGCGTGAAACCGCATCCTGAACAAGCATCACCACGATTCACTGTAAATAAATACTCTCTCCTTGCAGCACTTCCGTCAACTGTCACTGCCTTGGCTCCAATCACCTTTCGAGTCCAAACAGGAAAGCAGAGAAAAGCGACTGAGATGGCAGATATGAGGTTTAATTTGCTTTTCACTGCAGTTTTCACTGGTGGTGTGCTTCCAATTCGCTGGGATTGCCAGCTGCCTAGAATCACTCCTGGACCCAGTTTTTTCCTGTTAACCTTCATAATTGTATTATTATGGGCAAGCCCACAAACTGTGCTACAAAAAGCTGTAAAAGGTGCAGCTTCTTCCTTTTATTAGATAAGCAGCCAGATTCAAACCCTGCTGCTGCAGGCAGAATGGCAGCTGCGATTTGCTAAAGATGTTTGGTCACCTGTGTTTTACACAATCCAAGATGTTGCGGTTTTAAAAAAATAAAAAAAAAAAGTGGGGGCAAGGAATTCAAGAATGAAATAAGTTTGACCTCAATTTTCTGGGAAATTTATGAAAATATACATGATTGGAAAGATCAAAGATGTGGATGGATAGCAACAGTGGGCTGGTGCAGGAGAGGTACGATTCGGAGCTTATTTTGTACTTGCACATCAGGCTTGCGGGGGGTGGGTGGGGGGGAATGTCACATCTACACCCGAGGTATTTAGTCTTAGCCTCTAAGGCAGCATGCTGCCTCTCTCCAACGCCCCCTAGTGGACAGTGTAAACCAGCATTACAGGCGTTTTAGGACGCCTTGCTGCAAATGGGGGAAAAGTGAGGCAGGGCTGGTATTTACACAGGAAGAAGAGGAGTAGTAGTTCTCAGGGGAATTCTTCTTTGAGAACAAAGGAGTGGGTGAAAAACTTCATAAACCTAGTCAGACAGGACATGATCTTAGAGTGCCTGCCCGAGGAGGTGAGAAACTGCCTTGGCAGACACGCACCAAGACTGGGTCGGGTGGGGCATGCTGTGATGCATGGGATCCCTTCCTCATAGCCACATGCACGCACAAAAGGAGCAATTTAATTAATAAAAAAAGAAAAAAGTAAAAATGAAGCATTGTATGTACAAGCAAAGTATTATTAAAAGCTGTAATGTCTCACCAGTTCCTATGAAGTCATGTTCTTACAATTCACTCATAAGAATTTAAAGACAAAATTACATGCTTGGTAATACTCTGGGGAGTACACTTTTCTATGTGGCCCATTGTTTATATATGATGCATGGGTTTGAGAAAGTGGCATTGTTAAAGGGATCGTAAATTACAAAAGGGGGAAGTTTGACTTTTTTCAGAAATCCTATTCCAGACAGGGCTTCCCTCCGCAGCCGATGATTGTTTGTTTGTTTGAGCAAATGAATTAGCTTGGGATCCACAGCACACACTGTAGGGTTTTCAAATTGCTCCGAGAGATATTAGCACCCCCACGGAGTTGCTCTAGAGAATCGAACCTATTGTGGCCTGCACTGCCGTTGTTGTGGTACTAATTCCAAGTGTGAGTTTTTGATTGGAAGGGGTGGGGGCTAAGATAATTTTTTGAGATTGAATTTTGAATATTAAAAAGAATATAACGGGTAGGGTTTATGCAGTGCCTTTTACAAAGTTTTTACCTGGTGCAATTTGGTTTCTTAAGTTTCCTTCAAGCAACATTTGTTGTTAACATGATTATTTAAAACAAATGTATTTAAAAATGTGGGATTGGGCTGGGTTCCGTGTAACTTACAGGGCTAAGAATGGACTCCAGAATTTCTTAATACCCTCTACACCCTTCACCCCAAAATACGTGAAGTAACTAGTGGCCTGCCCCTTGCAAAGCAACCACAATTATTTCTTTGATGAGGCAGAAATGTTTTCCATCTAACGTGCGTGGGCTGGAAACTTAGACTCCATGACACTGCCCAGTTCCATTTCAAACACTATGTCAAATTTAAACAAAGGGGAAAAAAGCCTGTTGTAACAGAACACCCAATAAAAATGTACCAAGCACTAGCAGCTGACTACCTATTGAGACCAAATCCTGCAAATGCTTCTGAAAGTACAGACATTTATTTCTGTGTAAAGTCCCTTGAGCAAGGGTTTGTAATCATGGATTGGGCTCTAACTCAAAATCTTTTGGGCCAAATTGTCAGAAGTATCCTGCAGCACTGAAGTCAATGAGAGTTTTTGCCTTTAACTTTAATTTGGAGCAGGATTGAGCCCATACCTGTTCCGTGTTTATGTATTTATCCATAAAGGATAAATGGTATTAGTGGACTACTTTTTTTTTCCCCCATTACAGTATATCATTCATATTGATGTCACAAAGTTCCAGATACAATTAAGAATTAGAGGAAAACTATCTTTCAATATTAATTTATGAACTTAGGTGCAAATATATACACCAAGAGCCAGATCCTCTGCTGGCATCCAGTGACTACAACAAAAGTATGCCAATTTACACCACCTAAGGATCTGACTCTACAGATCTAATTTATCTCAGATAGTTACCACCTTCAGAATTTAAGAAGAATAAATCATCATGGATTAAGCCTTAGCAAATCTGCTTAGCAAATTTGACTGCGTTAATGCCAGTACATGTATTTTAGCATCATTCATTCATAATTGTACAACTTAATAAAGCACCTGGTCTAAATACGTTATTAACTAACAAGATCAATGGAATATAAGTTATTACCAGAAATAAGAAAAATTACCTTTTTATGTCAGAAGTTAATGTTTGCCAATTTGTGATGGCTCATTTAGTAGAAACACGGTTGAAGTATTATACTACAATTCCACTTATAGCAATTCACTAGTAAATATATGGAATGCTAATATATACAGCATTTCCACCCCCCCAGAAACTTTTCAACTCCGGAAGTGAGTTGGGATTATTCAATAAAGCTGAAGATCTTTTCCTTCCTTATTGTCAACATGAGCTTTTGGAGGCCAATGGAACTCTAAATAACCATTTACGCTTAGTAAACTGTTTGAATGTATTTCCCGGATGGAGGGGGAAGTGCTAGCATTAAGTCAAGCTAATGCTTTTGAGAACTCATGACCAAAAAAAGTGTAACAATACATTTCCAGAGCATGTGTCCATCTTCCATGGTTTATGGAAGACTTCTACTATGCGTGTGTTCAGGAGACCATCCTAATGGTTCGCTGACCCACTGTTATGGAAGCTTTAGAAAATGTATGTCCAACTTGAACCCAATCTGCTCTAATTGACATCTTTGACCCAAAGCATAACCAGGCCTATACATTGGGGTTCTTTAACACCCAGAGCCTGGGCTGGGGGGGGGAAGTTATCTATGCAGCTGCAACAGGATTGAGCCCCGCTGGGTCAGTCACGTGAGCAGACCCGCACCAATTCTGGCCCTGCTAAAGGGCCTGTGGGTGGCAGCAACAGAAGTTCTGGTCAAACCACACACACATCTATTTTGTTCCTTACTTGCTTTTCCTGTGGCTAGGTGTGCTCTTTCCCCAGCCTTCTCCCTTCGTGACCTAGAGGGGGTTAGAAAAGGAACTCAAGCTAAAGTGGTTTCAGAAGAAATCTGCCCTCCTTTACATGAGGTGGATAGAGAAGGGGACTACAGGTCCCCACCACCATTGGATGCAGAGTGTGTCTCAGGTCCCTTGCTAAATGGAGAGGGATGGGGTCTCCAAGGCAGGGGACACCAATTCATTATGTGGAATGTGATGGTAGAATCAGACTAGAGGGGGAACGCCTTAGGATTTGCCAGCCAAGGCACCCCAAGGTGGGGTGACAATTTGTTAAATAAAGAAATAAATACAAAAACCCCAAGCCTCCCCAAAGCCAGTCCAGGCTGCGTTCTGGTGCCAAAAAGAGACCTGAAATAGGTTCTAGGACGCTGTGCTAAGAGCAATGCAATCAGGAAAATATTCAGGCTGAAGCATGACTGGAAATACAGGAAGGTGAAAAAACAGGGATAAGAGCTGGGGTGGAGTTCACAGTGGTAAAGGACCACTGATGGAGTTACGATGGGAGGGGAGACAACAGCAGAAAGAGTGACTGATCTGTTGCAATGTGCACTGCATAATGAGTAACTGGATTTACTAGGCCCAGAGGACAGCATGCAGGGGAAACAGCACCACCTCACCCAGGCAATTCCGGTCCATACTCTCAAACTTTGTTGGAAATCAGTTGAAAGATGTGAGGGGCCACATAAGAAATCACGACCATCTGATTTAGCACAGACCGGTCCAAACGGCTGAGAAGCTCCTTTATGAGCTGCAGTAATCTTTAAGCAGAAAATGTGCATCAATCAGATCATCCAGTGAGGTAAACCCATGCTTATTCTGTAGCCTAACCATCATCCTATGGCCCAGAACATCACCCAGGATGTATGTGCCATAGCCAAAGGAATAAAAAAATCTCCCCTAATCTTCAGGAAAGAGTTAAACCACAGGCTAGCCAGAAAGATCCAAGAAAGGTT